ATAAACGTAGCTCCGCACCCAATATTTAGAGGGGGCTCATATCTGAAGAACATTTCCGAATTTTTATAAAATCACACAGATACTGCCTGGCTTCCAAGATGCAAAAATAATTTGCATGGGTAGTGTATCTTGAACACCATTTTTTATGAATGCTGGGGACGCAGTATTAAAAGGATAGTCTCAAAATATATAGGTCTGGGAAATGTTCAAGGCATACTGCGTCGCTATAAAATGAATTGCACTACTATTTTCACAATTTTATTGATATTTGGTGTCAAATACACATATCTTGGTATATTTGAAGTCCCAAAACGGCTTAGTTTCAGAAATACCCCAATTTTAAATTCAAAAATGACCGTTAGCTCCGCACCCTCCGCTCATTTGCGCCGCACCCAATATTTCCCACAGGCTCTGTCTGCATAGGGTGGTACACTAAGAATTCATTTTCAAGACCAGTCTTTGACTGTTATACCATTGATTTTGTAAAATAAAATAAACGTTAAATAAAAAAAATAGATAAAAAGTGTTTGGCTCGTGGACCACTCTTCGCGCGTCATTGTGCTCATTTTTAGCAATTTTTAAAAGAAACTTAAAAATTAGTCGAGTTAGCATAGACTTTGTGTTTACTTAAATGTGTTTATTTATATTGTTGGCATAAATGTATATGTTCATCAACTCTTGACATTATACCTATGCAATTAATCTGGAAGCAGAAGACAGGTTAACATATTATATATCCATAATTCTTGAAATATTTCCACAACTAAAATACATGAACTTTTATGTGTATTTTGTCAGCAGACTGACTCGGATTAAACTTTCTTAAGTACAATTTTACACCCATTTGATGGATTAACCTAAAAAACGTCAAACACCTTCCACCAATTTGACATTTATCCAAGACCCAGTTGCAATGAAAATTTCTGTAAATATAACAAAATAATCATAAAATAATGCTAAAATGAGTACTAGATGAACCTCTCTTAACAGTAGTTAGCTTGTGATCATAGAGTCAGTCACTCTGGTCTTTCGTGTAAACATCAACAACGCAATGCTTCTTCATTAATATGTAATCGACTCTATTTTTGAGCAGTTGATATTTATGCAACAATGTTTACCCAGATAGTCTTGCATTTCAAATTCTTGAACATGGATATGTCAGCCTTAAAACGTTTACATGTCTCTAGATGCTGGAATATAGAGGTTTTGCATTATTCTAAATAAAAGAGTCTCAAATGGATACTAAGGTTTAAAAACAAGCCTAACAATTGATAACATCGCCATTTTTATATGTTTACATTTGCATTTTTGAAGCAAGATAGGATTTTACTTTTTTTAATCGTTTTCAGGAGTGTCTGGCTTATTAACCTTTCCTCAGTTGCGACAACCCCGCCTGTGTAATATTTTAATCATGCGGGGTTTCGTCTGGGACAGAACGTACTGAGATATAACGAGCTATCACGCTAGCATGATTTACTATAGGGAGGAATGCTTCGCTATAGGAGTTCAGTGGTCTAAGGTGCGAATCCAGAACTTCAGGATGCTACAAATGCGAACGTGAGAAAACAAACGAACGGTAAAAATTTCGTAATTACACCAATTACCAATGCCATAAGTGCCGGTCTTTGGTCTACGTGTATAAAGTCTGATTCATTAATTAACGAATCAAGCTACATATACAGCTCGATAAAATCAAAAAGATTACCCACTTTCTGAAAAAAATCAGAAGTTGCATGAGCTCCTATAACTGTAAGTCCTCCAAAGAGCACAGTATTCAACATTTGAGAACAACATTCAATCTCAAAATACGTTGTTTTACGATATAAACAAAGCACATGTCCAAAATCACAAACACAGGGAAAGGACATTTAGCATGGCCTTTAATTACAAATTATGCTGCAAGCCAATACATCACAATGCATTTACATGCAAAATGTAGGCAAGTAGGCACAAACGCCGATCGGCGCCAAGTGAACACCGAACACCGTCCACAAAAACACGGAGACTTTAAAAATATGTAATGTAATAAAAATCAGTTGTCTAATTCACCCGCTGACACAGGAAATAGAAGAAATTATTCATTCAATTACAAAAACAGATCCATATACATTTGTTGAGTTCCAAACAACCTATGCCACTAGCAACCGCCTCGAAGATGAGATGTACTGACTGATCACCTTTGATTTATAACAAGTTGCTGTAATAAATTATTTTAACAATTGTATTTCCTAGCACAGAGCAGTCTTGTCTTTCTACCCCCTCAATTTTCCATTCGAAAATACACGCAAGTTTTTACGGACATCAATCATTGATCTTTTCGATATTAGAATATTACATTGTATTACATTACATTACTATTACATTTAAACATTTCAGTGGCGTAGCGTGGGTATTTTGTGAGTGTACGCCGCGAGTGAGTGAAGCGAACGATCTTTGAGGGGGGTTTGGGGTGGCTCCACCCCCAAGTAAAGTTGATTGCAGTTGAAGCGTTCTGGGGCGTTTTAAAATTCGAAAACCCGACTAAATATAGTCTAATAAAATATCCATTTTTAAACTGTGAGGCAATTCAATCTAAAAACAACTTTTCTCTAAATTTTGAGAGTACGCCATGGCCTTTTATGCGTACTTGTATTTGACGCTATACCATTGATTTTGTTGAAATCTTCATTATGCATGCCCTATGCAAATCCTAATTAGTGAATTACCGGACGGGAAACAACGGACGAGGGGTGTCATAATAGTTTTATTTGTGAAATACATATACAATTATGATACATTGTTAATAGCACACCAAAAAACACCTAAATCGATTTCACATTTTTAACAGATATGGAAAATACTTGATTGGTAAATCTTTACCCAATTCTTATATACATGATAATACAAAAATCTTCGTATCAAATCAGAAAATCATGAGATAAAAAATAATACAACATCAAACGGCTTGCCTATTTTAGCCAGAAATCACAAATACCGTATGTGACTCTCCAAATGAGTCTCGAAAGAGTCTCTTGTACATTTAAATAATTGCCTCTTGTGTTTCTTTATTTGTCTTTTTCATAGACAGATCTTTGTTAAAGTCTTGTATTAAGATTTTCTTGCGTGGTAATTCTAGAAAGTTTCGTTTTTTGGTAATAAGGGAAAGGGTAAGAGAATTGCGCATACGTTTTCTGGAAATATAAATCAGATATGCATGCAGTTTGCAAATATTAGGCAGGCAGTTTGGGAGATTCACGTGAATGTATGCGCGCCGTTTGATAGATTTTTTTAAAATCGAGTTGATGGCTTGTAATCATTTCTAAAAATTATATCAATTTAACCAGATGCTACAATCGTTTATCGAATATGTACAAACACAATCAATGGCTGAATAAACGGCAAATGGTGAATAGAAAGACAAGACATAAATGTGACGCAACACTTTATTTAGATAACTAGGTTTAGGCCTACATCGCGGAAAAATTGAGTGCAACTTGTAAAGTTCTATAAACCATAATGGTACCGTTTAATAAACGAAACTGACCTTGTGTTCCCATTATTTCCCATATCTTTTCAGGAGCTATTTCGTCCACGCCTGCCATTTTGAAATATGCGCTCCATTTGTCAGTTTTCAAATAAAAGGCAGAATCAGATCTATAGGGGTGAAAAATTACAAGCAACATGTGGGATTTACCAATCAATCTATTCTTTATAATCTCAAATACAATATCTCCCAAAAGTTTCACGATATGTTACAATTTGGTGAATTTATTATGGGTTCAAAGTGCAAAAATGGGTAAGAAATGTTTAAATTCTCCCAAAATAAAAATAAATGGAGGGGAATTTAATTTCCTATAGAAATAAATAATACATTATTGTAAAAATCTTTAGTTTTCCTTGAGTAAAGTGTTCACTTTGGGGATTTTTAGAAATTAGACGTGACAAGGAATGACATGACCCAGAAATATTCTAAAATTGAGACAATTTTTTGTTGGCCTGCTCGCTAGGTCTGATTCTCTCTTCAAGTACCACAGCGTTTGTATTCTGTGCTGTAACATGTTTTTTGGCTCATTGTGCAACACTATCTATTGGACGAGGCAATGATGCACGGTGCATTTGTTAACAAGGAATAATCTCGAAATAATCCGGAATTTATTAATGAGTTCAAGTGTTAACTATTTGTTGTTGTTTGTTGTTGTCATAGTTAATGCAATTAAGACATGTAAACAGTAAAAACTATATAATATTTAACCCGAGGCGACTAGACAACAATAACAAATGAGATCAACTTACTCTCAAGTTCAAATTACGAAATACTATGCACCGAGTAGTACATGTATGTAACCAATACTAGTACGTAACTGTTAGTGGATTACTTCATCAGAACTAAAAATCCAAACGATTTCTTTTTATATCGTTCATAAACAAAACCGCATTGATGTGAGATTGAACTCTAATTAACTTGACGTATAATCATAGTTTATTTAAAGAACATAAAATACCAATTGGAATGATCAACTTCCATCGATTTCCATGCACATCAAAGTCAATATAAACATCCCTCAGACTAATAAACACAACATCTGGAGGCACCGGGAGGCGTAGGTGAGACATAGGCCATTTGTCACGTAACTGACTTTGTTTCAAAACTTTTGCCGCTTGTGCGTTCCAGTTTGCGAAATCTGCGACCAGTGGAAATTTCCCGTCTGGTCTTTTTGAAACTCCATATGACGATAAACACTAAAAACTATAAAAGAGGAGTGGTGTACCATCAAGGAGAAATAGTTTGTACAGCATCCCTATATAAAAGTGATGTTGGGCACGAACTCCATTTGAGGGGCGAACCATTACATATTTCGATAGTTTAAACCGTTCACTGAGATACCATGGTTAGATTCGATGAAATACGGTGGAATTAAACCAATTCAAAGACTTGGATGACGTTCAATTATGAAATACAAATCTTATCTTCGATATAGACAACGTAACTAACAGACTATCGATACTCAAAAATGGACCAATTGGTACAGCCATAAATGGAGGGGAATTTAATTAGAACGATCGCAACCATCAACCTTCCGCGGGGTGGTATAAAAGTGAGAAAAGTCCCGTTGTATCGCACGTACACTTCGAGTTATCTGACCGAGGCACGCGAATAGGATCTTCGAGCGCAAGTCAAGAGACAAATTGGAACTCGTTTAGCTGTCGTTTATTCATTCAACAACACAATGTCTTTCGAGATTCCCGAACCTTACGTCTGGGACGATAGCTTCTGTGTCTTTGTAAGTGTTATAATATTTTATATCATTACTTTCCTGGGTTCTTGCGGCACACATAGTAATAAAAATTCACAATGGGCATCATTTGAAATTCACAAAATAGTTGCAATAAATTTTTTTAGAGTAATTCTATTAGTGTCTAAGGATTTCAGCCCTGGACTCAGAGCATTGTGTGCTGAATCATTCCATTGAAGGTGCTGTTTCCAAATCTTTGCATGACTGCGCAGCGGGAATGCAAAGTTTAGGAAACAACGCCTGAGTGGAATGAAGCAGCCACAATACATTGAGTCTTGGGGTTAAATTATTTTCACACTTTGCATAATATTTTCTACGAAATCACCTAAAATATACAAAATCGCTCAAAGAACATGTTTTCAATGAAGCTTTTTGCAAGTTGGCAAAATATCAATTTCAATCTGGAGAGTCAAGTTGTCACCATGACAACTATTTAACAAGTGACCTTGGACGCAGTAATTGGTGATATAACGCAATTTGCAATTATATGAAATACTGTGTTCGGATTGGCTGGAATCGGGCACACCCTACCTAGCATTTGTGAATCTTTCTTTATTCTTTCGTTGATTCTTTAAGTCAAAACTTGTTTAAAAGTTCTGGTGGAGAAAACACAGTTCACCCTCATACAGCACATCAACATGAGCTATAGGATTTTTTTCGCCAATCAATTATTGTACCACTTTCCAGACCATTAATGTGTTGTTCATGTAATTAAGAATTTGAATCCTTTTCATGATTAAAACTGACTTGAATTGTAACTTATGCAATTTGTAAATACATTCGTTTAGTATTGTACAATCGTAACATATAGCAATGTAAATCGCCTTAAATATTCTTGTAGTAATTGTAAATATTCATGATCAGTAACTCTGGCTTTTGATCCTAAAATATACCATTACTTAAAAATAAGAATTACTTACTTGTTTTGTTTCTCTAAATACAGCTTGAAAACTCCTCACATTGTTTAAAGCTCCTCACATTGTTAAAAACTCCTCACATTGTTAAAAACTCCTCACATTGTTAAAAACTCCTCCCATTGTTAAAAATTCCTCACATTGTTAAAAACTCATCACATTGTTTAAAGCTCCTCACATTGTTTAAAGCTCCTCACATTGTTTAAAGCTCCTCACATTGTTAAAAACTCCTCACATTGTTTAAAGCTCCTCACATTGTTTAAAGCTCCTCACATTGTTAAAAACTCCTCACATTGTTTAAAGCTCCTCACATTGTTAAAAACTCATCACATTGTTAAAAACTCCTCCCATTGTTAAAAACTCCTCACATTGTTGATGAATTTATTGCCCCTTTTCAAACTATAATTATTACTTTTGTATAATCTGACGCAAACTAAAGATTTTTCCAAGACATGGTATTTTCTAAAGATTAGTATCAAATTTTGTTGATTGGGCAAGCAGTGCCAGTGTGAACAATGTGCCTACTTCTTTTCATTTGGGAAAGTTATAGCCCTAATCTCGTTCTTGTGAATATAAAAAGCCAAATTCTCAGAATTGGCATCGCTTTTCGTTGGAATGTGTGCAAGAGGGTGCCGTACAATATTGAAAATATTTTGTCGTAGTGAGAATTGTCAACAGCAGCAACCAAATACACAGCTTTATTTTATTTCAGTATGCACTCTTAGACGATGAACACAAAGGGCTTTTTAAGGGAATCTTCGACCTTGCCGCAAAACCAACTGACGCCGCTGTGCTTGGTTCCTTGATCTCCCTTGTTGAGAAACACTTTGCTGATGAAGAGGTGCGTGTATAAAGTTTTTGCAATATCTTTCTATCAAGTTAATTGTATGGGAGATTTGGTTGAAGTAAGAGCAAAAATATGAACATTCAAAACACTGGGAAAATATTTAAGAGACAAAATTAGTACTAGCTAGAAATTAAATAGCATGCATTTTAGACCTACATAGACCACGCTACTCACGTTACTATGAATGCGTTTTGATTGGTGACAATGCATTTCTTGCTATGCATGATTATACTGTTATGCACGTTTGCTTTCAGGAAATGATGATAGCAAAGAAATACGATGAGAAACTACTAACACCTCACCAAAAAGCCCACAGAGATTTTGTGTCGGACCTTAAAGGCCTTGCGGCTCCAGTAAACAAAGACTCGATAGATTTTGCCAAGAAATGGTAAGTGAAATTTGCGCTTGACAGTACATAGTATTAAAACATCTACAGGGTGAGCATATAAAAATGGGACACTCATAAATTTTTAAAAGAGCATACATAAACCAAATGTCGTGAAAATTAGGTAGTATAACGTTTAAACAAAGTAGAAGAAATTGGAATCGTGTTTGATGGGCTTAAACCATAGATTTGACTTTGATTTATTAGAAATGTAAACGATTCTGACTGTAACTACTACTTCTGGGACAACCCTCGTATGCGATAGTTTTTTATTAAACTATGTTGATGGATTATTTTTCCATCGAGCACTGCATTTAGATTATTTCAACCTGCTGTCATGACAACAAATGAATAAATAAAAAAAAAATTCCTTTTTATAATTGTGTATTATGGCTAACGTTCCTGTTTTTCTTCCAGGCTGGTGAACCACATTAAAGGCACCGATTTCAAATACAAGGGGAGGCTTGGCTAGACGTCTGTCAATATAAACACTTTTACAAGTATAACGTCTAAACAGTATTTTCAAAATGTTATGGAAACCGATAAAGCATTTATTAATAATAGTACAATTTAAACATGTGTCCAACCATCCGTCGAAGATGTCTTAAAATGAGAAAATCTCCGTATATGGTTATTGATATTTTGTTTCTTTTAGAGCGGATGATTAAATTTTGCCAAAACGAATAAACAATTAAAACAAAACAATGAGATCAGAGCTTCTTAAGAATTTTCAGCATCAGTGTTCGAAAAATAAAAATTGTTACGTGTATCCAAGTGGACTGAATTGTTTTTCATTTCTCAATTCTTAAAGCTGAGACAATCAACAAATACAAGCCTCTGGTAGTAGAAGTTTTATACCAGTTCATACCAAAAATATCATTTACTTGTGACAATCAACACATACAAGCCTCTGGTAGTAGACGTTTTATACCAGTTCATACCAAAAATATCATTTACTTGTGACAATCAACACATACAAGCCTCTGGTAGTAGACGTTTTATACCAGTTCATACCAAAAATATCATCTACTTGTGACAATCAACACATACAAGCCTCTGGTAGTAGACGTTTTATACCAGTTCAAACCAAAAATATCATTTACTTGTGACAATCGCTTGTGTATACTGCTCCAATTTTATAACAATTCTCGTTATAAATAATAAATATGAATCTGAACGTGAATCTTTCTTATGTTGCCTTCTTTCAAGTTTATAATTGTTATTGAAACATAGCTTTGTATCCAATAGTAATATTAGGGAATATTGTTCTCTCGTGAATGAACGGAAGTCTGTGTCTGCCAATTATAAATGACGTTTCTAAATGGGTATAATTCAAAATAACGATAAAAAGTACATATAAAATGTGTAAATGTTGCTTCGGAATGCTTATAGATGTCGCACATGAATTTTTTAATGATTGCTATCTGTAAAAATCTTGAGTGATAATAAGGTCAAAGATGTGTGCTAGTGAAGGAGCCATACCATTGGCTAATTGCAAATATCTTATATGTCTAATTCCATGACGTATACTTCTATCACTGTTTGTGCAAAGATCTTTTACAAAATGCAATATTCCAGATTCAATTCTTTACTGCCCCCGTACTCTGATAGTTTCTGGCAAAATCTAACTGCTATATATATTCAACTCTCATGAATAGTCTATACACTGGTGATCCGCTCGATTACGCTGGTTACCGAAACGGATCGTTTTGGTTACAAAATGTCGGAACGTCGAAGGTACGATTTTTCTTTTTTCCTTATTTCATGCGTTGTAGGAAGAATCCCCATGTTTTTCGAAATACCGTTTGTGTAACTTAAGTAAGGAATCAAATCGACGATTCTGTTGTCTTCTGAACTATTTGTTCGCAAATATGTGCATTTTCTTAAACATATGATACTGATAAAAAAATATCGTGGGAATTCTGCCTACAATGTGTGAAATAAGGAAAAGAGAAAAATCGTACCTTCCAGGGTGTTCCGACATTTTGTTACCAAAACGAACCGTTTCGGCAACCAGCGTAATCGAGTGGATTACCAGTGCTATATAGCTATCGAAATAAGTTTTATTCTACCTCACTATATATCTTTATCGTACTACTAATACAAGACTATACTCGAACATTTTCTCGACCATAAATTCTCATTCTGAAATCACGGTACTGTACGTCGATATTGTTTGAGTTACCGTACACAATTGTGTAAAAATAGTCGAATTGTGGTGCAAAAATAAAGTCAAGTTTTGGTCAATAGTCAATTATAGGATATCCTATGATTTTGAGAAATATCATTTTTATCTTCGAGGTGATACTGATATCTGCACGAGAGAGCGAAATGAACGAGTGCAGATATTAATATCGATCACTGAGTAGACGACTACAGTGATATTCTGAAAAAAGCATAAGATGTTCTTATTATCCTACATTTTAGTGTACTATAGATGTATATAAGAAATGTATAAAATCAACAAGCGGAGTATATCGTGGCAATAGCCGCATATTGGTTTTCCGGAGTATATCGTGGCGATATCCTCTGGTTATTCATTTTGCCAATAGAGATATCAAATCTATTTTTTAATGTTTTTATACATTTAGTACACTAACCGTTGGATAAGTATTTTTGGCCACTAAATCCAAGTTACCTTATATTAATTACATATTTTACGAACTTGCCTGTTTTGCTAACTTAGTAGAATTACAAGAATGGTTAAACGTACACTTTGGTTTGTAGAATAGAATGAAATGAGCAAGTATATTGACATTATCAAATTCGTAATTGTCGAATCATGATAAGCCTATTAACGCAGTAAAATTAAATGGCTCGGCTTTACAACAATCAATGTCATTCTCAGGGGTTCAAGTTATTACTTGAAGTATATTTTTATCAGTTTTATTTCAAAATAGGTATATGTATTATGTACAATAATAGAGAGATTTCGCACATAAGTGAAAGTACAACTTATACGTATACGTATACTTTAAAGGGTCATGTCGAACTATTATATTTACTAAAATCAATTTCAAATTGTACTTAATGGAACATAACTATTCCCGATATAGAAAAGCTCCATCAACTAGAGACTGTGAATGCACTGTCTTCTGCACGTGTAGATTATGCACATTATAATTAAATGCTTGCTTCCGTGTCCTACTAGTTGTAGTGTATTATAAACACGATCCTTTAAAGTGAGTCATGATCCTTTAAAGCGAGTCATTACATAAACAAGTTGATTATTTCAAAGTTTTCATGATCAGTATAAGTTCAATGGACTTACAAAACGGTATATATACGACATGATAAACGTATACAGTTGGATCTCCGTATAAAGCTTTACCTGCATGTGTGTGGAACAACTGACCGCAAGCATTTTTTAAAAATAATTGGCTGAGTAGGAACAGTATCCAATCAAATACTTTAATCATCAATTTGAAACACCAATCAAACCAGTAAGTTCTATCAATTCCTGGAAACGACCCATTCAGTAGCGCAACAAATGACATACAGGGTGTTTCATAACGAGCATCTCAAAAAAGTCAATTTGAGAAGAGATAGGTCTATAACATACGTACTATATATGAGCCTATTTTATTCTAGACAAACACATTTGGATCAACTAAACATGCTACAATTCAAGAAAGTACAAATGACATCCCTTTGATCTGTATTTATTACAGTCCGAGAAGATCTTTCCTGACGAAAAGCCCACATTATGAAACACCTTGTACGTTTGCTTATAAGTATAAGTATACGTTATAAGTTGTACTTTCACGCCGTGCGAAATCTCTCTACTTATTAACAAAATCATACTTATGACAATTTTTGTGAGTATGAATAAATGACAGATCTTAAATATATGTAAAATGTCGAGAAATGTAAAGTTTTTGGCCACTCTGTGTATTCAAAATTACATACGTAAGTCAGTACGTTTATACTGAAGTCATGTAAAATCCTTCAAATTCGCAGAGTAGTTGCATTGTTCATGTGTTGTAAGTAAAAGTAAGTGAGAAAGCTTTGCTTTTCATTAGAAGAACCAGGAAATGCAAAATTTTTTGGTTTTCTAAAATGACTGCATTGGCGAGTGATAAATATAAATAATTACCAATTTTAATTAAGTACTATTGGCACTGCATATATCGGGTGTCCCAAAAAGTAGCAGAATAAAATTCATTGCAAATTTCAATAAAGTAGCCTAAGGGTATATCATTAGTAAGTGGTACAAATATGAAAGGAAACAGTTACATATTATGTAAGTATATCAACAAATTCAAAATCATATGTCAAACAATTCTATATCCGAGTTGCGCAATGAGACCTTCATAGTGTTTGTGCTAGCTATCACGTGGTTGCATCTGTCAATCATGATTGAAAAATGCAATCACAGATGATAACTTGCACAAAAAATTTGGCCTATCTACTGGTGAGAAAATACTTGGGACACCAGATATATTAAATACATATTTATAAAGAAAGGTGTAAGTCTTCGCATAAAAGAGGACTCTTTGTCTGATTCTTCATATAACCTTAAGATAGAATTGAATCAAAATCCTATTCCCAGATATAACTAAAGGCATTAGTAAATTATAGTCAGTTTGTTGTTAAATTACACCTGCCTTTACATTCTCATCTAATCCAAATTTTGTCTCTCCGCCATGAGTTACAAATACTTGTGGTCCAGAAGAAACTGGTCTCCCCTCTAACTCGGTAGCTGAATCTCCGACTTTAGCCTTAAGTTTTTCTCTGTTTAAGGATTTATAGACGAGAAATATGGAAACGTCTATGAGGAATTCTATAATCTCAAATATGGATACGATAGAGAACCCTAACCAAAACCCAAATTGTCCTCCCAAGTCAGAAAATAGGTTCCACTCCTGAAAAATACAAACAATATTTGCATAATTTGAATGCAAATTTAAACTATGGATTTTGGAAAACTCAAAGAATCATCATTACTCGAGTCAAGGAAAGAGGTGCCAGATTTAATACGATTCTAATTTAAGATTTTCTGTTTATGTTTTCATTCATACTCACAGTATATGCGATAGTCTCTTCTATTCGAATAAAGTTCAATTCATCAAAGTACACATCAAGTTTTGCGAAGTATCGACTGTGAAAAAAAAACATATTTAAAGATACATGAATATATTTATATTAAGGTGCCGAGGTACTTAACAGGAAATGACAAAACAGGAAGTGACAAGACATGTGGCATTATAAACATTTTTTGAACAAGGATAACAGACTTCTGTTTTGACCTCCAGTCAATTCAAATTGTTCCACATATCATTTACAGGACCAGGATCAAAATGTACATGGTCAGAATGACCCTAAACATGATAAAATAACTTTTTCAACCCTCTGAAAATGTGACTGGACAATAGCTTTATATTGTTCTAACTGATACAATCTTCAAAATTTTAGAAAATTGTCTTTCAAAACAAAAGATTCTGTTCAGTGACCTTTCCTAAGCTCCTACTTTTAGCTATTTTCCAGTCACATTTTCAGAGGGCTATTTCATCATGTTTAGGGTCATTCTGCTTTATCACTGTTCGTGTATATCAAGATAACAACCATGGTAGCTAAACAAAAGTTTAGCTAATATGAATGTATTAATCAATGTTTGAATATGCGAAATAATAATATAAAGTATAGTGAGTTTCAATAATATATAATTAATTTCGAAATAAAAAAATTCCAAGACTCTTTACCGCAGAGTAACTTTGATATATACAACTTTACAGAATATATACAATAACTAAAAACATTATATTTTCTGTCTAATTAAAACAGAAATAAACGAATCAACTAAAGAGTATTTGAAAACATTTTTCTTACTCAGTGCCTGGTTCAATTTCTATTGGCGCTTCTTCAACACCAATATTTTCATTAACTGTTTCATTTCCATTGTTTGTCACATTTCCATTTACAGTTCCATTTCCATTTTGGGTCTCAGTTCCATTTCCGACGTCGCGTTTTTTCCTGCTTGATGGGCTCTCTAACAATCCTCTTATAACGTCGTTTTTCGCTGCATAAGTTCTCAATAGATCATCCTGGTCAGAAATACAAATACTGAATTACCCTACTTACAGAATGTTGTACCGATAAAATAACATATACATACCCTCTGTAAAGAAAAAATGTGAACGGTCTTTTATCTATGATTATAATTTTTCAATATTTTGTATAATTTTACTAAATTCTTTGAGGCATATGGTTTAAATATCATGAATAACCAGCGAAAATCTTAAGACAAGAAATTAGTTAACATTTTTAGAAAATAATCAATGATTAAAACACTGTCTCACAAAGTCACTAATGTGACCCTTTCCATTAAATTACGTCATAAATTACAATTTACAATTATACACTGTAATACATTTTCCTCTATGGCTAGGATATTATTTTCTATGTTAAATTCTTCATGCCATTGTAAAGCCCATCTCACACGACTGTTCACGACTGACAGGTTTGAAATAAACATTAACAGATTAACAGAAAGTTATGGTAGTGCCAAAACCCATCTAAAACATGATTTTTAAACAATTTTACCCTTTTTGCTCTATAAACACATTTATATTCACTATCTGACTTAAAGGATGAATCTGGGAATGAATCAGAATTTGGACTTTTTTGGTGTCACTACAAATAAACCAATTTATATGGAACTAAAACAGTTTCAAGAAAACTAACTTCCCTGTCTAGTCTGTGTAAAAGTTTTGGCATCCAACTCCTCTTATATGAAATCGAGAGCAAACGGTAAGCATCTTTTTTGATCGACCCTTGTATGTACAATTATTTATTATTTAGTAAGTTCTAAACCAAGCTACAACCCAAATGACAATCTCATGTACACTGAATTGTAATCTAATTCATATCAAAATAAGAAAAAACGAGGTGATTATTTTTCAAAGCATCCGCACCTCCTTTGCTCCTCGCATTCATGTCGATGTTCAAAATTTGTTAACTTCTACAATATTATGTTACATGAATGACAACTTTTGCCCAGCCAAGATTTTGTTCATTTTATTGAGATGTATGTTTCTCCGGCCATCTATTTGTTAATAACGAATACTGGTATTTGGTCTAAATGATATAACAATGCATTTTTATGTGGTTCTAAATGGAAAAAACATAACAGTCACATACCAAATACTTTGGAGCAGGCCAAGATGTTTGTGAAATCGTCGCACTGTATGCCAGTTCCCTGAAGTAGACATAAACGAATTAGTGTTTCTATAAAATAATATTTTGTTCATTTTATTCCATGTCATGCATACTACTTTCTAAAACTCTGACTTTATTTTAGAATGATCCTTTGATCGTTAAGGTTATCCGACAAATGATTGATATATTCATGAAAAAGTAGATTTCTCTTTTTTCTACACCTTCAATAACCCCCATATCACACCAAACTAGTTCTTATCCGTTCTTGACAGTCCTACGAAAACGTCGTCAAACGGGCTCAATCTGGCTGTCGTCGGGAAATATGTCTGAAATAATTAGCTTCTTCGTTCTTAAACAGTCTTCAATACGTCCATCTCGTTCGCAGTTCGTTCAGGTCGCACCACGTCGGAGTGCAACGTCGTAGAACGCGTCCCTTAGTCTAGAAGGTCAACATGACCTGATTAAAGAACGGTATGGTGTCATCGAATTTTGAATCGATTCAAAATTCTAAAATCACATTCCCGTCTGAGAACGTTCATAAAGTTCGTAAATAGACCTTAGAAAGTTGCAGCTACGTTCATTCCGTTCGCACACAGTTTAAAACAAGTTTTGAAGAACGCAGTGGCAACTTGTTTGGTGTGATAGCTATATTTTTGCTAACTCGTTCATAAGCAGTGTTAAATACGTTCTTAATCAGTTTAAACCCGTTTGCAATTAGTTCTACCTCGTTCTCAACACGTCCGCAGACAGTTCAACTTGTTGTTAAAACGTCCCTAGTAGGATTGAAGTACGACGGTTCCGTTCGTAGTACGTCCAGCTCGTCGTTAGTACGTTGTCACTCGTTCTAATTGTAGAACGTGACGACCACGAGAACATTTTGAGCATTGTCTAAGTTCTAGAGGACCTACCCGTTCGAGTACGTTCGATGAAGTTTGTAAATAGACCACAAACGGTTCTTAGTAGGTCCAGTCCGTTCGTATACAGTTGAAGCCCGTTTTCGAGAACGCAGTGAGAACTAGTTTGGTGTGATAGTAGGGTAACTTCAGTATTTGTTCAGAAATTTCAGTTATTTCTTCAGCAATACGTAGAAACATTGGTATACTTTTCCATATGATTGCTCTCAAAATTGTGCACTTTATAGTCTTTGCTGTCATTTAAGTCAACTATTCCAAGAGTGTTTACACATATTTATTTAGAGTCAAATTTTTAAGTGGCACATACATCAATGACACTTCCAGACAACTCAAGCGTCTTATTGAAACAAATGCATAACAAAATAGACATACCAGCATTCGGAGTTACAGTTGCAATCCAGAGACCCATCCTCATAATCATCCTTTACTTTTAAATAACAAGAATCTAGAAAAAAAGTAAACAATCGGTTTTAAGAAAAGCAATACATGTATGTCAACACTTCGACTGATGTTGACCAGCCTTTTGAGCAAGATTCAAACCATTATATTATGCCCAATGTACTAGATCGTGTATATTTGGATGGACTTCGAGAAAAACCGGTGTAAAAGGGTCCTATCAATTTATGGCCCTACTCTCCATTGATTTATATGGTGACCCCTTTCCCTTATTATCTTATACACAATCGGGGCCAGTAAGAGCCGTTAAAAGAGGGGACCATAATCCCTGGGGGACCATAATTTCTTTCACACCGGAATAACTATTCACCTGTCAAATTGCAGAAATCCAATTCCTCAAGGTTCACATTGGCTTTGTCATAAGCAGTACCTCTGGTCTTTATTTTGTGGCTGAGGCAAGCACATTGAGTTATCAAGTTTAGTTGGTAGCATGTCTTGAGGCAAGCCTGTAATACAAATAAACAAGAAACAAACGTAAACTGGCTATCTATACAGATATATATTATATAACATGTGCATACAATTCCATCATGGTCCAGGTTTTCCCTTACTCATACACGACTAATTAGAGACTAATTACTAATTCACTCACTAATCGTGTGTAGTTTTTTGGGCTAGGCTCCGTCTCATCTGAATAGGCATTGTCGTAGATTGATTGATTTGCTGTCAGATTCCAACAATCACTGGAGTATGGGTCTGGTAGCCGTATTATTTCTTGCTGCAAGTTCATTTCAAATATATTATCTTCGAATAATTGGAATATAACATACCCAGTCAAGCATCATGAGAAAATCATCGTTTCTGTTAGTTCCCTTTTAATTGAAAAACAGAAATATGTGATGAGTACATGAGTACGAGGCAAGTGGGAATTAGCCACTGAATATATGCCGAAAGTGATCATGAGACTAATTAATCCATAACCAAATAAGTATGTGAGCTCTAGACTAATCCTAGATCCAAAATGTCTACATAAGCTATTATGATCTATGAATGGGATTATCGTTTTATTATGATACCTGCAACTGCATTGTCATACCCTTTTTAGTGATAGCGCTGTTCTTGCACCAACTGGCACAAATATTCCAGTTTCCTCTGGAAACAAAGCTTTATTTTGTCTCTCGATGCTCACTTTGAAACCGACAGTATCAGTAAGTGTCAGGTATTCGTTTTCTTCAACGAATAATTCCAAGGATAATCCTATTAAATAGAATCATTAGAATTCATCTAAATTTGCTGATAAAGATATCTACACAATTTTCATCAACTCTGTTTTTTACTCTTGATCTCTAAATCCCAACCATAGCATATCTCGTAATAAACAATTTAGAAGTTGCCCCTTTCATTACCAAGAAAACATGTAGAGGGACCAGGTAGTTTCCAAATGTCAGACAGTTGGCAAACCATACTTCGTAATCGGAAGTCGGCATCAATTTCTAAAGATGGTGTTTTTCTAAAGATGACGTTTTTCGGATAGAGAAAGTCTACATTATTGAAAACTTTTGAATCTAGGCTAGATTTTGTATAATTAACTCACCATGTTGAGCGCCAGCTTGAGAAGATGTCACTATATCTGGCCCGGCATTGTACGTGATGCAGTTTCCATATTTATAGTTGGTAAACATTGTGAAGTCACTAAAAGTAGTTCATAAAATCCACTGAATATACGAGATGAAATATACTATTACTAAAAAAGGTGTTGCTTGAGTCTGTTTAAAACTTGATTGATATATCATTTGATGACCCTTTTATATATGTATTTTGATTTATCATCAAAATTTGGGTTGTTTAACTAATAAACCAAGGATATTAGAAAATTTAAACATTGCATCAATGGAGATTTGGCCCAAGATTTTTAAAATGTCATAGGAAATGATTTAAATAATACTATTTTATAAATCAAAGGTATTCTTGTAGGAAACCGTTCACAAAATTCAAATGTGCCATCTAAAAGAAGGCAAAGTAAGTCATTAGAGGTCTAATATGCAAATCTCTTAAAATCTCACGAAAAACGAGATTCTGTGAGATTTCAAAAGCCACGGAAACGGTTCTGTTAATCAATATTGAAGCATGAGTAGGCTTTAAGCCGTTATGCAAATCTCTGGATTGGCTTTCTGAAGGGGTGTATTACTATTTGAAAGGGGCAGGTACGTTATTGCGAGCTTTTTTAGACAGCTCTTCCTTAAGTTTTAATAATTATTTGACCACAAAAACAACCATTTTTGATATGGTTAATGTACAAAAAGATTTGGAGATATTACATAATTGACCTCCAAAAAGAGAAAAACTACAAAATGACATGGATTATGAGATATAATGGATTGTAACAAATGGATTATGAGATAATCCCTTTCTTATTTTGTTATTTTTTCTTTTCAAACAAATTTAAACTCATTTATTTTTGTGGTCAAACAATTATTAGAACTTAAGTAAGAGCTGTCTAAAAAGCTTGCAATAACGTACCCGCCCCTTTGAAAAATATATTTACGCTTTCTTTACACCAACAGCAGGTCCAAATGATTTGTTGTTTTTTGCATTTTTGTCTGAGTGTTGTTTTAATAAACAAACTGTGTTATTACTGTTCATGTGAACTTATATCAATATGCAGTTACCCGTTCCAACATCATTCAAAAGTTTCCTCTCAAGAAATGTAAACGAATTTATTGGATCAAATGTATTCCCACTTTTGGAGCTCGATAATCTTATTGATTAAATTGTGTTTAGTTAATAAATCATGATCTGTCAAATGATAAATGATCTTTCAGTTTTCATTATTTTATAGCATGTTATGCTACATTTTTAAAATATATTCGCCTACAACAGGTATACTGTCACGTAATCCATGTCACGTTAAAGACTATGTCACTGGAATGATGCTATAATACTTTGGAATTTATCATTTGCAGTCAATATAAGATCTACATGGATACATTCAATATACTCACGAATAACTACAGTCTTCCCCGGCATAAGTACATGACATTATCATAGTTTCTGGAAGATGTCCCATAGCTTGCAATGACGATGTTGGGAGCGTTTGCATACTCCGTTGGAGTTCTGTAAGTTGAGAGAACCTTTCTGATCCCTCTTTCTAAACGACAAAATAGCAAAACATTACGGCCGAGTTTTCAAAAACGTTTACTTTTCGAATTAAGACTCTTGTAATAGGCTGGTCGATATACTTTAAGGCAAGGAACTTATTATATTTTTAGAGAATTCCCGTATTATTTTTAACTTACCTGGGACGTTGGACGAAGGAGGGCTTCAATCTCTGTACTGTTAGATAGATAGATCTGGGATTCCCTACAAAGTAACGTAAAATAGTTAAAATAAACATGTTCTTGTATAAAATGGCAATACAACTGAACATATTACATGTACATGAAACATACTTATTTTTTTGATTTTATATTTGAGTAGCCAGAAGATTCTCGAAGTAATATTGTGTTTTCATCTACCTGAGACATTTGTAAAGATAATCACCAAAATGATTTTCACTTTCAAAATTACATCAAAAAAAATTAATATGTTCAGATAGCCAAGAATTAATTATATCATTATAATATTACATGAAGCCCTTTATGTCCCCGACGCTCAGGTAGCACATGCTTTACTAAATCTTATTTATAATATACTTTTTAAAACGTTTTGTACAACATAAATTTTCAGTTTCAGCGCACTACCGATACCAAATGCAAATAATTGAAATAAATCAATGGGGATGAATCGTCGATCTGTGGTGATCAAATGGAATTATATTTTACAGAGGCCATAACAAGGAAATTAAGTTTTATATGAAAGACTTGAACTGTTCATGTGTTGAAGGCATGATATACAGATTGCGCATGCGTTCTTACCTTTTAGTTACGAAACAATTTCTACGACTCAAAACTTAAAAATGACGAAATTTATGGTATCATTCATTAGTATGCATTATACCCGATATAATATCTCCAAGTTCATGGTCTCTTACCTTACTGGATTAATATTGCATATCGTCACTGCAGGAAAGTAAATTTTACTTGAGAATGTTTCTGTCAGCAATGTTGAATGTGGGCGTTTATAATATGTTATAAAGGATTGAGCAAGCTGCGTGAACATCCAACCTAAAAGATAAAACAAGCATTCAGTTATAATGTTTATAATAAAAGTTAAGTGTCTATTTTAATGTCAACACAACTGGCTATCATGTTAATTCAAGCCGAGTGTTGGAGGATACAAATCAAATGGACATATTAAAATGTATTCTGTTTTATCAGCATAAAATGTCAAACAATACCCTTTTTAGAGCTGGTTGCAAACATCCTTTATTAACAAGTTGCGAATTATCGAAGCACGTGATACACACACTTAATTAATGCCGTTGATATTAACACACATGGGGTAGCTAGGCTTTGGAGGAATAACAGAATTTGACTTAGAAAATATCAATTATCGAAAATTAAAGGCTTGGTATCGATATGGCGAACTGAATCGAACACATGTTTCTCTTAAACCAGTCATCGAAAAATTTTGAATTATACACATTGTCAATCTAGTGATAATCTTTTGAATGGTAACTGTCTAATTTGAAATATATAATATATATTGTTTTAGAAAACACACCAGGCACTTCTTTTGTTCTTGGTATCAAATGTTCGGAATGAAACGAAACATCTTTCCGAACCTCATTGGAACAAAACGAAATATACACAACGTGTTTAGGTCTCTTAATATCATATTTGTACAAAAGAAAGTTTAGTTGATTTAAATGAAATAAAAGTTTTACTTTAATTTTTATCTATTTTTGGGGTTCTTGTTTTGATTTTTGAATACGTTTTTTAATTTGTTAAATCAACCACATTTTTCTTTGTATAACTATAATATTCAGAGGTCTAGGAAAATATGTTATATATGCTATTTTGTTCCATTCAGGTTCGGAAAGATATTTCATTTCATTCTCAAGAATTGGTAGAAAGGAAGAAAAAACAATTGCACTAAAAATCTAAAATGTTAACAATAAAAACAGTTATAAAAATATATATAAATAATTTTCGCATTAAATTGTTGTCAATCAGTGACCATCACATAAAGGACCGTGTTTTTACAGAATGTTTTCAATACTTGGTTTAAGAAAAAACAATGTTTAATTCAGTTATCCATATCGATACCAATCCTTTGCCCATATATTCATGTATAAGATATCTTACCTGCAGCCACTAAGACTATAATAGTCCATATTATCCTCCTGGGTATAGAACCAGCTCTTGCAATATTAGGTACGCCATTGGTGGCTGTGTCATTAGCAAACTCCGATACTATATCCTTAAATGTATTGTCCTTTTTAAAACCCATTTTGTCTTTCTGTTGGTCGGTATAATAATCGTATACCCAGATTTTGTTCCCTTTTTAATCACTGTTATTGCTTGCTATTGCTACGATCAAAACAGTGAGATTAATGGGATAAAGGCCTTACGACATACAAAATCATAATAACTTTTAATTCCTCATAAGATGTCGCAATTTAATTTACTATTACTCAACACAATTCCCTTTTCCAAGAATAAACAATTTAATTAACGACAACATAATATGTATATTCTTCATAGTTTAGATAATGCTGTCCTTGAACATGGTTCTCATGATTATTTAAGAGTCAGTGTTGTTTTGAAAAATCTCTTTATTTGCTTTGGATATTCTAAACTAGGTTTTGTACGAAAAATGGGATTATACAGGGTAGGCCAAGTAAATGAACACTGTTTATAGGCCCGGCAGTTTACCTTAACGTTGTCAATTTTTCAGAGAATGCAAAGTGTGTATAGAAAACACAAAGATTTAAGAATGTTATGAGTATTGGGTTAGATAGCTTGCCTAGTATCAATTCTTTATATTAAAAACAATAAACTACAGTTCATTTGATTCTATTGTGTTCCTACATAAGTGGGATTTAAGTGGATATCAAAATGAGTGGTCAGTGTCATAAATTAAGCACTATTTTTCTTGAAAGACAAACTGTTGATCGTTGTTTCGACATGAGTTTGTGGTATCTTATGCCACTCAAAGTCGACTATGGTGACACGCCATTGGAATATTGGTTACGTCCGCAAAGTATCACGTTTTCTCAACTGATACGTTTACAATTAATGTTTTTTTTATTGAGAAGATAATAATGTTTCATATGACAACATACCTAAGAATAAACTGTAATTTATACATGCCTTTATGCATATACGTATTTAGCAATATCTAGATAAAATATTAGGCTTACAAAATTGACATTTTTCTTGGGCCACCTTGTATATTCTATTGAATGTAATGTAATATAGTAGTATTATTTGGCGTAATTCAACTGATAATCCGGATAAGTTGTTATGTATCGAAAGCCATCGATGTCTTTTATTTGTAACAATATGAAAAATGAGCAGGTCAATATATGTGTACAATGATCGCTGAATAAATCGCATTACCTAAGAGCCTTATTGGTAAGGACAATATTTAGGCCGTTACAGAAAAAAAATTGGATTTGGATTTGACATGTGTATAAAAGATTTACTTTCCCGTTATCCCAAAATCTGCTTGGAACTGTACCATTGGATTACTCTAAGAAATCCCTAAAGGGGAAATTCTAGGGATTAAGGAATATGTACCGTTTACACAATTTGAGGAATTGTTGCCATTCATGAAACAGCATTATTACCACCTTGCCGGCCAGTTCTAGGGGTTTTAGTGCTAGTTTAGAAGGCATTAATTTTACTTTATCGACCTGAGAAATATGTGACGTCATAGTGGTGGTCCATATGGACCGGTCTAGAATATATTCTGGACCGGCAATTTTCCCCGGGAAATTAGATATCGTTCAGTGCGTAAGCTTTTCTTGCTGTTTCAGTCCTGGTCGTTAACGGTGGTAATAATACTGATGCATGCTTGGCATTATTGGGGTGGAGAGGAATAGTACAATAACGTCATTTCTAAGGGCGATATAGTGAAATATTGGACCGAGGGCCAAAGGCCCAAGGTCCAATATTTCACTATATTGCTCGCAGAAATGACGTTATTAGTATTAGTATTAGTTATTAGTTATTAGTACCGCAAGAAAATCTTACGCATTGAACGATATCTAAAAAATTGCCGGTCCAGAATATATTCTAGACCGGTCCATATGGACCACCACTACGACGTCACACATTTCTCAGGTCGATATAGTAAAATGAATGCCTTCTAAACTAGCACTAAAACCCTTAGAACTGGCCCGGCAAGGTGGTAATAATATTTTATAATATTGAGCCATGTAAGCTAATGTTCTGTTTCAACATATTCTCCTTGGGTGCCAGTAATATTTATAGAAACATTTTTATATTTAGAGTGTTTGAATGTTTAGTGAATCATCAAGCAGGTGGTATTACTAAAGAGTATATTACTATTTCAAATAAATATAAATTGTTGGACAATGGTGTGAGCTTCATGTACAATGGTTGTATAAATATGTCAGAGTTTCTTTGGAAAAAAAATATGTAAGAACAATGTTAGGGATTTTGAATTTAATAGTTGGAGACAATCTTTATCAATGAGTATTCAACTTCAAGATTTTAGAACTGTACAGTTGCATGTTGACATTCCTTCTATCTGGTATTACTTAAGACTTAAACATCCTGAACTTAAGCAAAAATGTAATATGATGATTAAGTTGCTATGTGGTATACATAATTTAGAAATTAACAACCATGGTTTACCTAGAGAAAATAGGGAATGTAAGAAATGCAATAATAACTCATTAGAGGGTCTTTATCATTTTATTATGGGTTGTGATAATTATGTTGATATCAGAAAGATTATGATTGAAAATTTGATTAAGGAAAATCCTACATTTAAGAAACTTTCATGTGAGGTATTATATAACATTATTTTAGGCATGGAGTTTCCAATGAAAAATTGGGATAATGTTTTGATTATTTCATGTAAGAGTGTCTCAATTATGTACCAAAGAAGATTTTTTAGCTGATTTACCAATGTATCCATTGTTATTTTGGGTCTAAATTTTGCCGATGTATACATGTATAATTCATGATATTGTAATTGTCTAATTAGCATAAGGTATAGTGTAAGATTGTTTTAATTGTCAAACTATTCTTCAGTATTGGAGGCTAAATAAATAAATAAATACTAATAACGTCATTTCTGCGAGCAATATAGTGAAATATTGGACCTTGGGCCTTTGGCCCTCGGTCCAATATTTCACTATATTGCCCTTAGAAATGACGTTATTGTACTATTATATTATTCAGAAGCGAATATGATCAATGATTCTCGGTCCTCAAAGTTTGAAAAATGAAAATACCTGGGTGTTGTATAATATATATCTTTATACTTCCCGCCCGCTCTATCGGTGAAATAATAAACTGACAAGTATAATTTGGTGTGTCAAGAGCCATCCTGTGGCCATCTATTTTTGATTTATTATTTTTACATGAAAACATTACATAATATTTTCTAACATTACATAATATTACACAAATTAACAATAGTATAAATTCGTTTACATTGTCTTACTTAATTGTATAAAGTATTACATAACCTTACATAATGTTTGAAATGGACGCTAAAAAGCCGTAACCTACTGTAAATTAAAGATTTTAAAAAGGGTAAGTTAGGACTGTACAAGCTTACTAACACATGGTGACATCTATGTGAAAGTCTCTTTCTCAAATAGGTTTGCGAAAAACATGACATAGTTAATTATTACAGTCTGTAAACCAATACAACGTGGATTTCAACAATAATACATTGGTGTTATTGGAGGTAGAATCGGGGAAAGGAGGAGGGTTATAAATAGTGTTCTTTCTTATGTTATATAATATTTTGTTCATATAACAATTCTTGAATAGCTTGTAAAGTTGAAACAATAATCTTTTAACAAATCAATGCTTATTTATGTTGTCTGTTTCGAAACATGAAACTGAATGAAGGATGCTGTCTGGCTAGGAAGTAGCAGATAGACCCAAGGGTGTAACTCGAGACACACGTGTATAACTGAAAGTGAAAGCAAGTACATGATTGGATATCCGGCAAGATATATCTTTATTTCCCATTTTGCATGGAGTACAAAAATATTAAACATTTAACACAACAGCGAAAATTAACCAAAAACAACAACACAAAAACACATCTAAAAGACAATAACAAAAACACAAAAAAAACATTTCACATCTACAACGTCAATGACTATGGAATTTATTTTGTATCAAAATTGGACATTACATGATGTATGGGAAAATTGAACTATATGATGCGATACTCGAACCATATGATTCGAAACTCGCATCATATTATGCGAAATACGCATCATTATATGCGAAACTCGCATCATCGTGTGCCATTTTCAATCCATGTTATACCAACAGTTAATTTTCTTACATAACTTATTTTCATTCACACACGCACTGGTTGTATCAAGTGTCACACAAAGAGTTAGCACTAACTCAAATCACTTTCCAAAAATCCAAAAGCAATGTTGAAATGTCACACGGATTGTGTTATAAGTTGCATAGAATACTGAAAGAATTACACATGGATCAAAGTAAATTTCGAACGAACGTGTCAATTTTACACACGCATTGAGTTCAAACTCGCATAGGATGCCTCCCGCTTTGGCGAGCCGCACAAGAGTTTGTTCGACTTGTGTACCCTGTTCGATGTCATTCTTAAACAATGCATATACAAGTACGCATGTACAAGTGTGATTTTACAAATATAAAGTGTACAAACTCGAACAAACCGTGTATGAAATCACACGGATTGTGTATGTATTCTGCTAAACGCTATTCTATGTGTTTGAGATATCAATAAATATAAGATGTCCAATTTTGATACAGTTTTAACACCATAAATGACAAGTGAGAACGTATCTATTAAAAAATCACAAAAAGTGGAACAATTAGTTTACTCGATAATGAAGTAAAAACATATCTAAGAATTTTTGAAATCCCCAACAATTGAGGTTAAAGGGAAAAGATTTGTTCGAAATTTTTTCTTATAATTTGACAGAAATCTGCTTGGTTTATCTCGCCGCTTTGAGCCGAAGTGACTTCATTCACTTATTACACACACCATTCACTCAATAATCAGGCCTCCTAGACTTCCAACAACGCGACATGATCTTTAGTATCTATTGGAAGAGAGAGGTAAATTCAAAACTGGTGATTAACGGACTAATCCAAATGAAGGAACAAAAATATGTATAAACAAAATATAGATGTCGTCAATTTGTGAAGAATTAATTCTAGTTTCACAAGCTTGATGCTTGTCTCATTTGGTAGACTTCGGAATAAATGTCTTGCCGAAGCAGCTTTTCAACTTTATTAACCAAGGGTTAATTTTTTGAAACATTATTTAAGCAATAAGGATGGATGGTACTCATCACTTAACACAATGACTCCCTTTTTATTGTTGCTATGGTTGCGACACAAAGCCACAATGAACTTCGGAATTTCCTGATGATGTTCATTTCCTGCAAATTGATGACTGTCTAGATGATGCACTCTCGTTGCTAATAATTTACCATACTGTAGGTAAGGGTGGATTTGCTTATCTCCAAGTTTACAATTTTCCGATAACTTTTTAAGATGTATCTCTTAAAACCATTGAATATGGAGTACAGACATAAACACCAAATAACTTGCGTAAGCACTTGGCTTATGACACTATTAATAGATTTTAACACAAGTATAAAATTGATCAGCTTATCGGTTTTATCAGTTTCTTTAGAATCTAAAAGTGACCTTGAGTGCATTAGAAAAATATGCAATGCAGATATATGAAATAGCGCGATCTGGTTGGCTGAATTGGACACATCTCGCCTATGTGTGAATACGATATCAACAATATTGCAATAAATTTTGCTGTAATCAGTTCGTATAATTCAAGCAAGGTGTTTTCTTGATTTCTGGATAATTCTTCATCTTAAATCTTCAATCGTTCTCACAATTGATTGAATAACGTGTTGATAGTGAACGTCTTACCTGTATGAAATAATATCTTTAGCACATACTACTAGACATCTATGTGGTTTGTTGATAAAATAGATTAATATCATGTTTTCGATCTAGGACCTTTAGCCAATATATTTACGGAGACCTTTCTTCGCCTTTTCCGTGTTTCATTCTTTCTATCATAAAGGTAATGAAGGCTAAATGAAGGATGTAACTGACCTATTAGATTTAAGATGTACGATAAAGATAGATAACGTGGTATTACTCCGCTAATATTGATTTGCCGATTTACTACTTGTTTACTACTTGCCGCTATCAAGCTTACTATTAATATAGCTATTAAAAAACTTGTCTAACTATCATTTGGTGGATATCCTTCCCGAATTGCATGAGTTGCAATGGTTACCAATACCTTATAGTTTCCATGGTGACCGTAGAAATGGGAGTGCACTTGCGGATCGGGGGATCAGAGCCGGTAAAACCGCCACGAGGGGCACCAAAAATGCTAATCTCGATTGGGTCCCTCAACCAAGGTCATTCAATAATGACCTAGAAAGTTTTGACACTATTTTAAAATAAGCTTTTTGGAAAAATTGGTTAAGAGCCAAAACTTTCTAAAATCATGTCGAATGCTTTCCTTGTATTTTAAGATCTATGTCCCTGCTCAAGGTACATAATTTCTAAACTTAACCATCATATTTCTATTTGAACTAATTTTGTAAATTAGTTCAGAATGGTAATCGAAGAAGGTAATTTAGTTTATTTGTGAAAAGCCTTTACCCGACTGCGAATTCGCCTCTTAATAATATCCAGAACATATATGTCACGGCGGTTTACTATTTTAATAAAAAAGTATAAAGGACGACCTTGGCGAAATGTTAAATTCAATAATATTCACATTGTACGTATTCCCATATATCAACATGGAAGCAAATTGTATTTGATCAATATATTTCACGAAATAAACGCTTATAATATGTTTTATTTTGAGTATAAAAAGCAAATGACAGTAGTTTAAGCAATGCGACTAGCTTTTTGTAACCTAAAGAATGTGGCATCTATTGTAACGTTTATTGGAATTCGCTGATTAATTCTTATCTGGGAAACTAAATTAATATAATTGTTGAATTGTTCGGCTTCTAGATGCTGAGAGTTGTGTGATGGAATATTTGGAAATGTTCCATTTATTACAATTTTGGAGCATATTGAAATGTATTAATATCATTGATAGATTGACATATATTACTTCGGTCCAAAGCCTTCTCTATATTCCGGCTTTGAGGAGGAAGATTGAGCTGCCTTAGTATTATAAATATTGTAAATCATTGTGTCACACGCAGAGTAAATATGGCATAATAATATGAAATATACCTTTATGTATAGATTTGAAGAACATCAGCTCACATCCCCGTCTGAATCTATTGTTATATTTGATTTCTTTAAGCGAGAATAATTTCAAATGTTATTCACGTCCAGAACCGGAAGCCATTTTTAGCTACAGCGAGAAAATTTCACCATGTGTCAAACTCCGAAATGAAATTTTGAAATATCTAAATCCAGACAAGCAACGCTACATCCTAAATATGATTAATATTCTTAAAAATATTTATAAAATTTATTAAAAATGAGTTCTAGGTGCGTGTAGGTGCGTGTAGCACAGTACATACGAAATCAATCAAGTTTCGTCTAGCTGTAAGCTAGAGACTCGAGTGAGACATATATCTTATAGTTATTCAACAACAGTGTACATAGCAGATCTCATAAACGTATAACAGTTTGACATTTCGAAATATCACATGACTACTTTTGCTACAAGGGGTGCTCAATGAATTTCGCAAGAAATATTTGGCATAGTTTTGCCACGGCTTATTGTTTTGTAAAATTAACTCCAGTAGATATTGAAAGAATCCGAGGAATAGAACTAAATAAAGCCCAACGATCCAAACAACAAGTCAAACGGTACGCCATTCAATACCACGATCACTTCTAACACAAACTCTTCGATCGCCAAGACGAATTATTTAAGCTCAATAATGACTATAATTCGACTGTACACGAGAAACGTGATAATAAGTCACATGAAAATATCATTAGTGTTACCACAACCTCAGCATGATGACTATACAAAGGGAAATAACTGAAAACGTTTACACAGTGTTTTCAATCACATAAATCCGGTCCAAATGAATTGGATCATCAACGTAGAATCAAAGAAGACTCAATGGACCACAATCTAGATTACGGTGTAAATTACTCAATGCGGCAATTTGGGATTCATCAGTATCAATGAACGAGGTATAAGCCTCTGTGTATCAATTTAAGTGGACAATGGTCTAAATCCTAAAGAGACACTGGCCATAACATTAAGCAGTTATACAATTACAAATGTTTTCTGTAATTTGTACAGTTATCGACTGTACAGGGTGTCAAATGTCCCCCTTAATCTCAAACGTATGTACTTTTGTGCATAAAAGTGCATCTGAGTTGAGCTAGTCACCTGAAACTTTTTGTGGAGTTGCTCCATAAAGTGTAGTTTTGATGTGCTAATGAACAATTCAGCTATCATGTAGAGAAAAAAAGTTATGCAACATCATAAAGATGTTAAAGATAATGGGGAGAACATACTTATTTGACACCCTGTATATATCACACGTGTTTTGATGTTTACGGATATTAATTACGGACGATAGATGATATGCGGTAAACGCAATATAATATATGTCATATTCCGCACATGAATATGACATATTCCGCAGGAGAGTATGGCATATTCACCTGTATCGGTTAGAAGGCTGACTTTTTCGTTGTCTTTTAAAAGTAGTTGAGAGGTCCATGAATCCCCCCCCCTCCGAACATGTACTTCGAACTCTTGTCCCCTAACCTTGTTTGCTCAATCCCATAGGATAAGGCCATCAATTCTACTAAAACGTTCTATAGCATTTTGAGCTTGGTGAACACTTGAATAATATGCCGAAAGTAGTGATGTCAGTTTCGTATTTGGACCTTTAGGGACATTGATCCAGATATATTGGAATTTTAAGAAGTATAATCAGGCGGCCAATATCCCACGACGCTAGGGATTGGATAAGCTCGGCTAATGTAAGGACCATATTATATTGAATGATGAGAGGAATTGCTGTAACACTCGTATATTCAGTACTTATCACTTAGAGCTTTAAACGACATGGCTGAGTAGTATTGAAATATATATAACCCTTCTGGGAAATCCGAAAATACAATAGATAGCCGTAGGAAAGAATTATGAATAAATCCAGGGATTTGGTACATACAGACATTAGTTTTGAATTATACGTATTGACCTCTTAGGGCAATACGAGGGATTACTTTTATTACGGCTTGAGGAAAATTGATGCCATCGTCACCCAGTTCCTACGTTTGTCGAATATGACTGATGCGATGCTTTAATTCGACTAAAACTATTTACCCATAAGGAATGGGTCCATTGGTCTGAAGGATAACTACTCAAAGCAGGTTCATTACTGACATACTTTGCGTAAAAAACAATTCACACGAAACTGGAATGGGATAAAATGGTAATGTATTTCATTTAATCGCATGTTTTCATGAATTTTTCAGGAAGTACTGTCTTAATTGTTTATTGTAATCAAGTTCTTCTTGTTCCTCTTATTTTATGTTGTTTAGTCATGAACCACGCTATTTCAGGTATACAAAGCACTAGAGGCATAGGTATTTTTATACTTTAATAGAATTTCGTCACGGTCAGCACTATCTATCAGTATTATGTGACAAGAGGTGCGGTGACTAAGAAAAAATGATTAATTTAGTTTCATATATCAGGATCTATGTTTGATATTTAAAAAAATAAGTTACATTTTAACCTTAACTTTAAGTGAAAAAAGCACGCTATCACATTTTCAGTCAACAGGACTTTGAAACAGATAGGGCCAAAATCGTCCATTTCTTTTATCTAATAATGAATGTGTTTTAAAAATATTTCAAACTAATCACTTTTGCAATTATTCTTTAAATAAGATCAATAAATCGTTGCCGGTTTCGAAATAAGAAAGGTTGACATACACTCCCCTCCATAAGTTTGGCAACCTTTTTTCCCCATTGAACTACGTGTTAAAGCCTCTTTACCTTTGAATTTTTGTTTACTTAACCTGCGATGAAAATACTTAAACTATTGATGAAAACGTAATTTGACTTTAATTCCAATACCTCCAAATTTTCTCAATTTTTTTCCTCAATTTTATTGGGTCGAAAATTGATGATTTTGATGAATCTTTGAAAATCGACATTCCCATGTTAACCAATGAGAAATGGTAGGTTTGCCGCATGTCATATGACAGAATATCCATCCATCCGAGTCCTTGCAAAAATACGAGTGAGGCAGGCAATTGAATTTGCTAGCTTTATTTAACAAAAATTTATATGTTTCTTCAGGTTCAACAAAGTTATAGGGCTTTAAAGTCAGAATTGTTTTTCAAAAAACCTCTCCCATTGAAATAACAAAGGAGGCGAAAAATTATTTTCAAAAATGACTTTGAAGCGCTGTAACTTTAATATTCATCAAATAAACTAAACACTTAGTGTTCAAAAAAGGTAGACAATTCAATTTTCTATTACATAAAAATATTTTTTGCTAAATCTTTTACTGAAAATATATCCTGATTTCTTATTTGCCCCGAACCCTCCATTTCCCATTGGATTACATGGGAATGACGATTTTCAAAAATTCATCAAATTTATCCTCAATTTTCGACCTATTGAAATTGAGGAAAAAAATTGAGAAAATATTGAGGTATTGGAAATAAAGTCAAGTTACGTTTCGATCAATAGTATAAGTTATTTCATCGCCGGTTAAGGAAATAAAAATTCAAACGTAAAGAGGCTTTAACACGTAGTTCAATGGGGGAAAAAGGTTGCCAAACTTATGGAGGGGACTGTACATGTATGGTCTGATTGAAAATATGTATTTCTCAGGATGCAGTTCAAACCAGCAAAGTGGTTAAATCACTTACAATTAGTAAACATTTTATAATTAAGTGTTTTAGAATTATAGTGTCAGAAGTTGCTCAAAATCCAATGTTAATATTACATTTGATATAGTTCTAAATATTCGAAATTATGTTTGAAACATCAAACAAGACAAAATATATCAAAATCTAAATCGTTACTAAAGTCTTTGAAAGTTTGAATTTAAAAGTGCGATATCAAACAAGAAATATATAATATCAAACATAGAATTGAAAAAAAATTAACAACAATTTGAAAGTTTAAATAAAAAAATCGAATAAAGACGCCAGAGAAATGCTTATTATCATATTTTTTTCAATTTTCTATTTTAGCAAACTCTCTCTTGACAGACTTTCTCATGTAAAGATACCGCGTGACACAAACAATGATACCCACCCACAAAATGTTTCATGACCTTTTTGTCTGACTTGTTTTATCATATATTAAAACTACACTCCATTTTGCATTTCCACAAGAAGTTTCAAATGACCCAGCTCACCTAAATGCACATTTAAGAGCATTAGAAATTGTGTCGTCTATTCCTTTGCTTGCACAACCGGATCTTACACAAAAAATGACACCCACATTTTGTAACATAATTTTCGAAATGAGTTATAATGATTTTATCAACAACAATTATATTATTTGGTAATTAATTGAATGGACTTCATTTCCCTGAAAGAACAAGCCAAAATCATTAGTATTTACAAAGTTATGTTACCAAAGCTGGGTGGCATTTTTGTGTAGAATCCATTTGTGTATGCAAAGGAATGGACGACATTTAGAGTAACTGTTGCAACGCTCTTAAAAAACCCTTGAGCTATACATCTAACATTTTTTGAAGTGCTTTCGCAATTATGTTTACTTGCCCAACCCAGCTCAATTCAACCCAGTGACACTCAACCCCAAGTCAACTCAACCGTAGTAAAACTCAACCCAAAGTCATCTCAACCCTGTGAAACTCAACCCCAGTAAAATCAACCCTTTTTATTGATAGACTTATATTCCACGTGATATGAAAATTTATTTCATCAAAAAAGCTTTTTATAATTCTGAGTCAGTTTGTCATTTTCATTCCCTGCCTGGCCTGCCTTTCATAGTTAATAATGAGTTTATCTCTAAAATATCAGCATGGTTCTAATGCGATTAGAATATGGGTCATTTTATTAACCTTTCTAATCATTTGTTCTGTTGTAATCCCCCTGAGGTTGACACCTGTGATCATTTGAAATACTGGATAAGAAGCATCGCTTTCAGTCCATTAATAAGTAAATTTTAATGATTTTAATAATGCATAAGTTAAAAGTAAGTAAAAAGTTAAATTACGGTGTTATTAATTATTTCTAAATTATCTAAAATTTGATTAAAAATTAGAGAATAGTGACAACTTGTTGAATTATCCTTGAGCTATAAACTGTTTTTTTTAAATATTTTAACAACATTCGATTCAAAGTATTATGCAAAATGCTAGATTTTCAGAAATAAATGACTTAAATTATTCATCGCAAAATTTAATTTGACATCCAAGAAATGTTAATAGGGTTGGGTTTCACTAGGGTTGAGTTTAAGGTGCCATGGAAGTTAACAGGAAATGACAAAACAGGAAGTGACAAAATTTTTTGCATTTTTAGACATTTTTCGAACAAAGATAACCGAGTTCTGTTTTGACCTCCAGTCAATTCAACTAGTTCCAAATACCATTATCAGGTCCAGGATCACAAAATAACCTTTTCAGCCCTCTGAAAATGTGACTGAAAAATAGCTAAAAGTAGAAGGTAGGAAAGGTCACTGAACAGAATCTTTTGAGTTTTTCAGAAAATGTGCCCAACATATTGCTCTAAATGATACAATGTTTGAAAATTTGATATCATTTATAGACAAAGAAAAAAATGAAAAAAAATGATTTGAAAAGTGATCTATTTTCCTTTTTATGACCGCCATTTTTGTTAAAGACAATTTTCTAAAATTTCAAAGATTGTATCACTTAGAGCATTATATTGGGCACACTCTCTGAAAAATTCAAAAGGTCCTGTTCGGTGACCTTCCCTAGCTCCTACTTTTAGTTTTTTTTCAGTCACACTTTCAAAGGGCTAAAAAGGTTATTTCATCATTTTTTAGGGTCATTCAGACCATGCACATTGTGATCCTGGTCATGTAAATGATATATTTAGAGGTTATGTCACTATGACGTGAAATATGCCTGAGTTCTCCCAATATAGGCCGACCTTGGGAGGCTCTATATTTGGGCAAGAACGAAGGCATATTTCACGTCATAGTGACATAACTGATGTATTACATGCCTTTGTTCCCATGGTTACTTTGTATCAATGACGTGACGTCATGATATTATCATGGTTATTAAAGAAATCTAATATCAAAACGAGGTAAGCGGGCTATATCGGGGTAATCGGGCAATATCGGTGGATATAGCTCGCTAACTTTCCCATTGACTTCCATACAAATGCTTCGCTAGGTATGTAATACATGGAAATATAGTTAAATTGACTGGAGGTCAAACCAAAACTCTGTTATCTTTGTACAAGAAATGTCTAAAAATGCAAAAAGTTTTATCACTTCCTGTTTCGTCATTTCCAGTTAACTTCCATGACACCTTCACTGGGTTGAGTTGACCTTGGGTTGAGTTTTACTGGGGTTGACTTGAATTGGGGTTGAGTTGCCTTGGGGTTGAGATGACCTGTCACCTGTTTACTTTAGATGTGCGAAAGGACAAGTCTGTTAATAGACAAAAAAATTATGCAACGTTAGGTGGGTGTTTATTTGTTTCACACAAACATTACTTGGGCAAAAAGGGACACTTGTGAAGTTTGTAGGTATGACACACATTTGAGTCCAAGAGGTCGAGGAATGAGATATTCAGACAAGTTTAGATTCTTGTTGAATATGTTCTGAAAAAGAACTATGTTAAGTAGAATATTTTGAGGCTCTCAAAAGAGGGCGCACTCGGTGTTAATTGAGTTTTCACGAGAGTGCAACATTTATCTTGTTTTGAGATAAGTCATAGTTTATAAATGAATATATAATTACCTCTTCAATCTTTCATTTCGTGCACAATCTTCATCTAGCTTCTATTCTTCTATCTATTATTTCAATACTACGCATCTCTCTCTTTAATAACAAATCATAATATTGCTTAATTTAGACAGAAACTACACTTTTTGTTCGAAGTGTATTATTTTCAATGTTTTAAATAACATCATCTTGGTGAGTGATATAATAGAAAATGTAAAAGATAATTCATAAGGTTGGGTTTAGATGGATACATGCATGTAGTTTATAATTGTTATCTTCTATAGTCGTAATCAAAACCCCAGAAAGTGAGAAAATCCAGAAATATGTATTGTCGAAGTTTCGAATAAGTCCAGAAGAACCAAATTTTCCCTTATCATTCATTCAGAACCTAACAATGGCAGACAAAATATCATCAATTGTCAAATGTTGTTATTATCAGATAAGATGATAAGCTCTATATTTTAGTTTTTCCTGTTTTCCTTTTCTATGATCTTCCGACCGGTTAATATGACCTTTTTGGTGG